ACAAAAGATAACAATTTAACATGATTTGGTCCAACCGACTTACATTCATAAATGAGAAAAAAAATCTACTAGTTGTGGAGAATTATAAACATATAATCATATCAGCCACATCAATTAATACCCATAAACTCTCTCAATCTCCTTTAGTCTTATGGAGTATTCTCAACTTAAGCATACATATACCTATATGCACCTCTGCACTATACTTATGTAGACCCTCCATTCTCTTTTAGTTCACTTACAAACATAATAACATATACACCCATAAGACATAAATCTCTAGTAGTTTTATGAAGTGTCTATCCCATAAAATCCTAGACTCTTTTATATTTTTTTTCTCATACCTAACCCTATGAGACTTCACCTATTTATAAGCATATAAATTTGCTTATTAAAAATTTTTTTTTTCTTAGAATTCTTTTTTTGTAAGTCAAATTTGCCTATTAAAAATCTTTTTTCTTTGAGAATTTTCTTTTATAAGTCTTTTTGTCCATAAAACAATATTTAACCAATCCTAAATAAATCTCTTATAGAATTTGAGTCACTATTCTCAACAATCTCCATCTTGACTCAAATTCTATTAAATCATTTGTCTTCATATTAGACATGTTTGGGTCCACTTGCAATGGAAGTCTCACAATCATATTCTTTTGTGTGTCTTCATGCTTTATGCAAACCGATCTTTAATCCTCATAACATAAACTTTAACTTTTCTTTTGAATTGAGCTCCTCTATGTTTGCCTCTTCTCATGCTCTAATACCATTTTATAGGGATCACCATGGCTTTAATACCATTTATTAGGTCAAATAGCCCTAATCTAATCACACTAGTGGAAGCGAAATCAAACAGTTAATCAAACACACAAGAGACAATAATTTAATGTGATTTAGTCCAACCGACCTACGTCAATGGATGAAAAAAAAGATCCATTAGTTATATAGAATTACAAACATATAATCATATCAGCCACATCAATTAATACCTATAGACTCTCTCAATCTCCTTCAGTCTTATGGAGTATTCTCAACCTAAACATACACATACCTATATGCACCTATGCATCATATCTATGTAGACCCTCTTAGTCTCTTCTAATCCATTCATAAACATACACACCCATAATACATAAATCTCTAGCAATCTTATAAGATGTCTATCCGATAAAACCCTATAAGTTTCTTATATCTTTTTCTCATACCTAACCTTATAAAGACTTCACCTATTTATAAGCATACAAACTTACTTATTAAGAATTCCTTTTCTCTTAGAATTTTTCTTCTGCAAGTCAAACTTATCTATTAAGTATCTTTTTTCTTTTAGAATTCTTCTTCTACAAGTCTTCTTGTCCATCAAGCAATATCTAGTCAATCCTAAACAAATCTCTTATGAGATTTGAGTCACTATTTCCAACAAAACCGGGCATCTTCTATTGATATATGCTTGTGTTATGAGGCAAATTAAGAGAAAGAAAAGAACAATTAAGTTTGGTAAACCATAGTGTTGATTGTTCATTATTTAATACTAATACATTACACATGTTTTGTTTGTCAAAGGCTAGTTTGATTGTAGCTTAATTTCGACATGATTTGGAAATTTTAAAAGAATGAAAACGATAATCCGGGGCCCTCTGTCTTCAATTTTCATCAATTTATCTGAATTGGACTCAAAGCAAGCTTAGTTGAACTTGAAATTGCATAGAGTATCTATTGGATCACGTGAATGCATTTTTTGTTTCTGCGGTGTTTGATTGACATGTCTTTTTGATAACTAGACATCATTGCAGTGGAAAATATGTATAATATTTCTGCAATGTCGAAAATTTGTCCTGTGTTCACACTTCTATCTTGCCCAACAATAACAAAAGTCTGATTTGAAAGGACCCTTACCTTAAAGTCTTCTTTCCAAATGTAAGAAAATGAGGGACATGAGGAAGATGAGACGAGGCGATGAAGACAGTAACAGGGGCAATGAAGTGATTCCACTAACAAATTGGAATAAAGTATAGGGCTGCTATTTATATAGATTTAGTGGATTTTTTTTTTTAATTTCAAAATAGGTTTATAAGATTGTCATGTATTCATTTATTAATTAATAATTTAATTTTTTTTTATAAATATACTCAAATAGACACATGCTAACCATTTAAACCTATTTTTTAAGACAGGTTTCAAAATTTTATTACCAGTGAATTGAATAATTATTATCAAAATATTATCATTACTATATATAAAAGTACATAAAAAGTCTAAAAATGCAAAAAGTGAGTTATATTTATATACACATCACACAATTGATAATGTATTAAATTAATTATTTTTCCTTAAATAATGATTTTCATATTGAATGAAATATTGGTTAATTTTTATTTATGTTAGCTCAAGTATAAATAAACAATTTAAAAGAAAGGATGAACTGAACTGTATCTAAATTCTTTTCAAAATTAAATTTCAACAAAAATTGGGAAAATGATAGTATAAAAATATAAAAAAATTAAAGCACAAATGAATTTGAAATTAAATAGAAGATAAAGGATATAGAATTTAAATATAATAATTTATAGGGGTTTAGTCTTTAAGGCACGTACATGCTTGTTCTTGACTTTTTTTTACCGAAAAGTTTAATTGGGTATTATATTTAAATCTTTACAGCATACCTTTTTTACAATTACTATTTTTTAAGACAAAAATGTACCATATTTTTCAAGTCTAAGGTATAACGTGTCACTCCATGCTCTTCAAGTTAAGGATAGCAAAAAAAAAAAAAAAAAACCCTCTTCAATTTCCAATAAGTGTTCTCACTGAAAAAAAAAAAATTCTCTTTCATTTTCCATCAAGTTAGCCCAATAATATTCCCGCAATCTCTAAAATTTGTTCTGTGTTCACACTTTCTATCTTGCCAAACAAGAACAAGACCTACGCTTTCCAAGTCTATCAAAAAAGTCTAATTTTAAGAGGGGCCAGTTACCTTGATGTCATCTTTTAAAATGTTAAGAAATTAATAGGGCCACAAGATCGGGAAGAAGAGACAAGAGAGGGACATTGCACGAGCTTGACTCTTGTTGATGCTTTTCACTCGGTTTTAAGTCAAGATTGGAGCTTAATGGAATACCCGCTTGCGAGATGGAGACGGTAAAGAGGGGACCATGAATTGATACCACTAAAAAATTAGAGAAAAGTATATGATCATATTATTTTATCCATTCGGTGGAGGTTTTTAGTTTTATAAATAAATTTATACGATTGATTTTTTTAAAAGAAGTTACAATTTTAAAATAAAAGCATGGGTTATAAACGTTATAATTTAAATTTCATATTTATTAAATATAAATAATTATATAAATTAATTAAATTAAATTTTAAATAATTATTTTTATATTTGATCCCTTATCCCTGAAATTAATAATCTAATACTCTATTAATAAATTACATAATTATTGGCTAAACTCTAAAATTATTATTATATAATCATTATATTTATAATAATTAATTCAGACTTTATCATATAATAAACTCCAAATTCATTATTACATATAATTGTTATATTTTCATTATTAATTTAATATATTTTAAATAAACACATATCAATTCTTTAAGCCCGTTTTATATACGAAGTTAAAATACCTTACTAATGATGTATAATAGACTTAAATCAATAACAAACTGGAATAAGGTCTAACATATACCACTAACAAATTGGAATTTATTTAGAAATGGACTATCATATGAACACAAAGGGACAACGAAGTCAGAGAAAGTAAAGAAATAAAGTATAGAAGGTTAATTTTAGTAACAGAAAAAAAAAATTAAAAGAAAGTTAAATCACTATAGTATTTATTACAAAATTGATTTCGCATTTAACTTTTCTTACTTTCTAAAGGTATGTAAACATTGTAATAAAGATTATAACCATGATTTCTTTAATTAAGGAGGTGAGGCCTTTGTCCGCCCCTAGATTCGTCCCTGTCAAACAAAATACAATATCTATCATATAAATGTGAAAAGCTTTGTCCTCTTCACTGTACATTGCTTGAAAAATAAATATAGAAAACCATTTTTTTCTCAGAATAGAAGAATATTGAAGAAATATTGCAGAGGCCAAAAGGATCAAATTCAAAGAAGTATCCATATCCACACTTTAAAATTAACAAAGACAAAATATCCATATCCACAAAAACTAAATCCAAATTATGACCACAAGACTATAATCTTAACATATCATTCATTAAATCATACATCTAAATTTATATATTGACTACAAGTTACATAGGTATTAACAAAGAAAATTCTAGCAGTCAAAAAAAAAAAAAAAACGAAAGGATACATGTAAAACTGAACCCCATACGAGAATCTCTCCTATTTATATAATTAAATAAAATTATAGAACCCTTACCACTTTAGGCTTGAAAAATGTCATTTGTTTTCATCAACCCCTATAAGACCGAATCGAAACATTTATTAATAATTGTCAGAGAAAAATCTTCAGTTTGAGGTTTAGTCGTAACCCCTACCCTCTTGTAAAAAAGAAAAAGAAGATTATAATAAAAAGGAATAGTTATTTGTAGAGAACGATTATACCTTACCTATAGGAGCATAGTTTGTTCTATTTTCTTTCTCCATTATCGGATTTTTTTCACTCTAATATATTTTTGTTGACCTCTCTCAATCATCCTGACGAACCACCATGGTTTTCCAGTTGTGAATACAATGTATCCCATGCTCAATCCGAACACCAATCCACATCCATAACCCATCAGCATTGCAAATTTCCAACTTAATGCTCTTGTTGTCGGTGTTGGCTTCAATTTCCTATCATTACTGCAACTCCTTGACAATGGGAATCCACATAAACCCAAATTCCCATTGTAAGAATCATTTTCAAAAGTATTAAATTGATTGCCTTGAGGAATAGGTCCGATTAGACAATTATGAGAAAGGTTCAGCACCTCTAAAAATACAAGATTTTTTAGTTGTGCTGGAATTTCTCCTTCGAGCTTGTTCGATCAAAGATCCAATGATTCAAGCTCTGACAAATCACCGAAAGATGATGGGATAGGACCTGTTAAACTATTGTGAGAGAGGTTGAGGACTATAAGTGAATGAAGTTCACCAAGTGAATTAGGAATTTCCCCAACGAATTGATTGTTCGAAAAGTCAATCACCATCCAAGTGGTTAATAGTGCCTGAAATTCTATTTCCAACCCTTTTATTGTAAAAATAACATTTTGAATATAATACACCACTCCATCAGCCGATGCATCCATCATGTACTCTGGCTTAACTTTCTTTTCACACCTTTCCCTTATGGCTTGCAAATTTTCAAAAAAATTCGTCGGTAAGCATCCACCGAAGTGATTGTGAGAAAGATCAATGACACGCAAACGAGTGAAGGAAAATGTAACTTTGGAGTTATCTACGTGACCATAAAATCTATTCGATCTCAAGACAAGAACCTGTAGGTGATCCAAGTTTCCCAACCAATTAGGAAAAGTGTCATTCAAGTTATTCTTCCCCACATCTAGAAGTTCCAAGTCTTTGCAATTACCCAAAGATCGTGGTAGTGATCCTTCTAATTGGTTGTTGTTGATCTCAAAACCTCTCAAAGAACAACCTTTAGCAAAATTTTCAGGTAATTTCCCATGAAAATTATTCTTACGTAGAACAATGTATAAGAGAGAGCTCAAGTTTCCAATACATTTTGGAATAGTTCCACCCAAATTATTCTCATCCAAAATAAGACCTAGAAGGGAACTCAAGTTGCAAATTGAGGAAGGCATTTCTCCAACTAAATTATTCTCTGAAACAGATAACCAATGCAATGAAAGTGGTGCAGTTGGAAAGCGTCCTGGGAGAAAATAAGGAATAAATCTAGGTTAGGAGTTTGAAGATTATATGAAATTAAAAAAATGCAAATAAACTATGTTTGTGATGTAACGTATGCAAATAAAATGCATATGTCAACCAAGACAAATGACAGGACAATTTACCCCACAACATCTTGCCATGTCTAAGTGCGTGGCTGCACTATTAATCGGACAACCATAAGTTGAATTAGAAAATTCTATTAGTACGTACGTAACAATATTGGAGCACACTATGAAAAAAGTAATCACTCCATCAGTCTCTCCGATTCTCCCAAATTCTTTGTCTCTCTATATGACTTTCACAAAAACTAAAAGAAAGAGTTTTGAGTTTATTGTATTTTATATTAAAATTTTAATTTTTTATAGCTAGTATATATATGATTTATTTTCAAAAGTTAAAAAAATCATGAAAAATAATTTCCAGATATATAACATAACATAAACACAAGTAAGAAACTTTTTCGATGTTCAAAAAGAAAAAGAAAAGAAAGATGGTGTTAGGTCATTAAAAAAAAAAAAACGTTGTATAAAAAAAAAAAGAAGACACCAATAGTTATGTGATCCCATGGTAGAATATTATTAGGATTAGCTCAAAATTCTATAAGAAATGTATTTTAGACTTTTTTTTAGATTGATTAGATATTGTTAGATGGATAAAAAGATTTGTAAGAGAAAAATTTTAAGTGGCAAGGGATTATTGATAGCCAAATTTGCATGTTTATAAATAACGAGAGCCTCTATAGGATTAGGTATGAAAAAAATATATAAAAGAATTTTAGGGTTATATTTAACAAACACCTTATAGGAATAAAGTAGATTGAGAAGGTTCTTATGGGTGTGTATATTTAAGTGAACTAGAGGAGAATCAAAATGACATAAGTATGGTGAACCACATGAGTATGTACTTGTTTAAGTTGAAATACTTCATAAGATTAGAGAAAAATAAATGCATCCACATAGGTACAGTAAATCACATGGGTATGTAATTGTTTGGGTTGAAAATACTCCATAAGATTATAAAAAAATGAAAGGGTCCATAAATATTGATTATGAGTGTTGATTAATATGATTGTATGTTTGTAATTTTCTATAACTAATGAATATTTTCTCTCATTTGTGGACGTAGTTAAAAATTGGTATTAGAGCAAAGGTTCGAGACATAGAAAAAGGTAAGCCTAGAGGAGCTCGATTCAAGAGAAGAGTTTGAGTTCATATTTTGATAGATTGGTTTGTGAGAAGAGTTAAAACGCACGTAGAAGATGATTATGATAATTCCATTGCAGTTAGAGTCAAGTATGTTTAGCATGAAAATTGATGATTTGATAAAATTTGAGTCAAGGTGAAAATTATTGTGATTGACTCAAATCTCATAAGAGATTTGTTTGAGTTTTTTTTTTTTTAGATTGATTGGATATTGTTTTATGAATAAGAAGATTTGTAGAAGAAAAATTTTAAGCGGAAAGGAATTTTTGATAGGTAAATTTTATATGCTTATAAGTAGTGTCAGTGTCTATAAAATTAAATATGAGAAAAAAAACATAAGAGATTTGTAGGGTTTTATTGGGTAGACATTCTATTAGATTAGAAGAGATTTAGAAGGTCTTTATAAATATATATGTTTAAATATTTGTAAGTGAATTAGAAGAGATTAAGACGATTTATATGAACATGCATGCACATATGTATGTATTTATTAGGTTGAGAATACTCAATGGGTAGAGCTATGTTCAAAGTAGAAGCCGATGGGGTCTAATAATTAAGATTAAATTTTTTATAATTTCAATTACCAAAAAAAAAAAATGCTTACCGGTCAAGTTGTTGGCGCCGATGTTCAATACCTTAAGTGAAGTCAAATTGGCGACTTCTAAAGGCACAGTCCCGTCCAATTGATTAGAAGCCAGGTATATATGTTCTAACTTTTTGCATTTGAACAAACTTGTTGGAATTCTTCCAGAAATTTGACTCCCACTCAAATAAAGCCATCGTAAATTAGGAAGGTGATCAAATATATACGATGAGAGATGACCTACTGAGAGCATGTTGAATCCAAGTTCGATTACTTGCAATGAAGAAATGTTGAAGAGTGATGAAGGAATGGAACCTGAAAGCTTATCATTATTATCATAGACGTCTTTTAAAAAAATTATTAAAAATTAGAATATATGAAACATAAAAAAAAGAAGGAAATGTAAGTCTTTAAAAAAGGTAATTAAATATAAAAGTGAGAGAGTACTACATACTTTCAAATATATAAAGGCTGAAAATTTCAATAAAATGACCAAATGTATAAGACATTTAGTTTGATATATAAAATTATAAGTTGAAATTGAAATTAAGACAAAAAAATATAAAGATGATATTAATGAATATAAATTTTCAATTAATCACATATATAATCTTATGTGATGTTCACTATATATCTTAGGCACACCAAAATATACCTTGAGCTTACCTTCAAATTTGTTCTGGTCGAGGCACAAATGTTTAAGCCAAGTAAAATTCCCAATTTCTGAAGGCATATTCCCCACCAATTGATTAGCAGACAAGTATAGATATTCCAACTCTTTGCACTTGAATAAACTTGTTGGAATTCTTCCAGAAAGTTGAGTCCAAATCAAATCAAGAAATAGTAATCGGGGAAGGTGATCAAAAATATCTGGTGAGAGATGACCGGAGAGCTTGTTTAATCCTAATGAAATTACTTGCAACGAAGACAGATTGAAGATTGAGGAAGGAATGAAGCCTGCGATAAGGTAAATTTCTTATTAGTATTTCAGAGAAGTCCATAAGCGGACCCGGTTTGATACCTTAAAAAGAAAAAAAAAAAAAATAGACATGTTCATTGTACCTTCGAGGTTGTTCCTGTAGAGATACAATTGGTTGAGCATAGTCAAATTTCCGATCTCTGTGGGCAAACTTCCCTCCAAAGAATTGTTATGGAAAGATAAATACACCAATTCTTTGCATTTGAATAAACTATTAGGAATTCTACCGGAGATCTGGTTCCATGTCAAACTTAGTACTCGTAATTTAGGAAGGTGATCAAATATTCCCGACGGTAGATGACCTGTAATGAAATTATTAGTTCTAAAATCAACATTCTACAATGAATAAAGACATTAAAAATTGAGAAAGGTATCCAATTGCAACCTGAAAGGTAATTCTTATCCAAAATTAACCATTTCAAGTTTGAAAGATTTCCAACTGCTGCAGGTATCGGCCCTTTCAAATTATTGTAATCCAAGATCAATATTTCTAGTTTTGACAAATTGCCCAGAGTAGATGGGATAACGCCTGTGAAGTTGTTGCCATCCAAATACAACGACTGAAGTTGAGTGAAGGAACCAAACCATGACGGGAATTCCCCACTGAAGCTATTGTTAGCAAAGTTCAAATATTTCAGCCTACGCAAATTAGCTAACTCAATGGGTAACGAGCCTTGGAAACTATTATTGTGAATGTCGAGCCAAGCTAGGAAAGAAAGATTTCCCAAGTGAGGTGGAAAGCTGCCTGTAAGACTCATTGCTGAAAAATTCAGAGCAGTGACTCTCTGGTGTCTTGATCCGCAAGTGACCCCAATCCAATTGCAAACAGAGGCAGAAGTAGACCAGTTGGATGCCAAGAAGTTTCGAGGGTCGTAAGTGACATGGGATTTTAGTACAAGAAGAGCCAATTGGTCAGTGCTGATGTTGGGTGAACCGGCAGATAAAGTAGCCCCAAAAGGAGGCAATAGGAGCAGAACCATAAGAGGGAAGAGGAAGCCAATTTTCCCCATAAGGTTAGGCGTGGGGATAAGGCAAATCATGAACAGATCAGAAACAACTGAGTTTAATCGGTGCCAGTGTACTGTTCTAGTGTTAATCGTTCAATATTCTTTAAATACTTTCTTTCCATGGATTTAGCCACCGCATCCTCTGACTCATCTTTTGATTAAGAAATACGTGCAAATGGGTCCTAATTTCCAAACACAATATACGGTACAAGAAGAGAGCCTAAACCGCAAGACTCCAATCTCAAGGTTTTTTTTTTTAAAAAAAAAAAAACAATGGAGTATTATTTTCATAAAAAATTTAATGTGATAAAATAAAAAGATAAACCAACCTAAAAAAATTAATATAAGTGAAATAAAGTTGAATACAATCCACTTATATATATATATATGATGCGACTTTAACTTAACGTCATAAAGACAAATTCTTATTGTCCAATTTCAAGAATTTTAGAAATAAGAGAATGATTAAGCTAATATTTATATGTGAAAGAAAATTTGTTAAATTGTAGTAATTTTTAAAATCTTTTAGCATATATTAATTTACTAATTAAAATATAATTGAAATGGAAATAAGCTTCTTAAAGATGATAGTGATAGAAGTAAGTATAAAACGTTGAAAACGATTGAGGCTGAAGCTCTCAATACTCAACAATCAATGCAACAGTTCTAGACATCAGAGACGGAGGAACATTTTACCTGCAATCACAATAAAAAATTATATATCCACTACCTATAAGTGTAAATTTTGTATAATATTTTAATATATTTTACATAATTTTAAATTCAAACTGATTAATTGTAATATAAATATTATAAGTGATATACTTTCGACAAAATTGTGCGTCAAAACTACTAAATTCAGTGCCCCAAACCGTACGGGACACTCTTTTGATGTTTGGTTGAAAAAAAAAAATTTTATTGAACTTTTGAGCATATATAGTGAGAGTTAGGAAAATGAGAGGATAGGGATAGAAAGTAACTATACAAAGTTGAAAAAGACAAGAGGTGGAAGCTATCAACCCTCAATAATATTCTAAACACTGGAGAGATGGGACAATTCTTCCGCAAATGGCTGCTCATTCAGTGCCCAACATACGGTAAAGTATGTTGATCTTTGCTTCAATGGTCCAGACATCCAGTTGGAGGACAGAAATGCAGTCTTACAAAACTCCATCTTATGAAAAGCTCTGTTTTGTCTGAATGTGACAAAGTCTCTAATTTACTTGTTCATCATTATGGCATTCTTTTCAATTCATCCTTCCAATGCCGGTTATTAGAAGCAATTACGTTGCAGGACAAGTAAAAGGATGTTAAAACAGGGTTCAATCGTCAACCTTGATTGAAATGTAACGTCAAACTGTAGACACCCCAATCTGTTTGGGGGTCTACAAGATATGGATTCCGTTAATAAATTAGAAAAAAAATGAAAAAAAGCTGGAAAAACAGGAAAAACGGTGGTTGAATTTAGGTAGGACTGGGTTGAGGTGTTTTAGTTGGATTAAAGCTTGGAGTTAAAACTCAAAAGGGATTAAAATCCTATCTGGTTTTAGGGCTCTCGAATTTCACCTTATAAATATCCATAGATCAAAGACGGAACAAACACACAGAAACAAAACATAGAAACATAGATGCAGAAAAGCAATTAGCAATTTTAGGGGAATTCTCGAAGAAAAGAAGAAAATTTTTTGGAAAATTTTTCAAATTTTCGATGAATTTTTCGGCATCGGTTAAATTTTTCGACGCTGATTGAATTTTTTGGTGAGATTCCAGATACATTCCCAGATTTCAATAAGCTTCTTAGTTTTCGGCAGCTACTTTCCAAAAACCAGTGAACTTTTCGATGAAATATCAACGAATAATCTAGATTTCGACAAAAAATTTTAGAATCTGATTAAATTCAACTGGTATTCTTGGAGGGATTTAGAGAGAGAAGGAAAGAAAAGGGGAAGTAGAGAGAAAGGGAGCAAAGGAATTCTGGCGAAAATAGACTGAATTTGGGCTATTTATACCCTCACTGAAAACGATGTCATTTTAGCCTTAATAACCCGTCAGGATCCGCACGTTTTTCATTCAGCCGACCTAACCCACAACGCTACCCACTTTTGACCTGCATGCCAATTGCTTTTCAGCAGTCGAGCCACATTAAGCTGCCAAGCTATGTCCCCTTGAGTTGCATTCTGTGCCTTAAGCCAAGCCGTTTTGCAATCGTCGAGCTGAGCCGTTTTTATGTTTTTTATTTTTTTGATTTAGTATTTTATTTATGTGTTTTTATTATTTTTGCATGATGAAATTTAAAAATAAAATATAAAATATTTTGAGAATAAATATTAATTATCCAATGATAAAATTTGTAAAAATTTCAATGGTAAATTTCTCTAAAATTCCTAGTTGAGGAATTTTATTTAAATTTATCGCAAATTGTGTAATAATTCAGATAAAGTTTCAATAATAGTAATTAATATTTATTTTCAATCTAAAAAAATAAAAAAAAAAACATTTTGGTTGAAAATATTTGACAATTATCCAAGGATAAGATTCTTAGAAATTTCAAATGGTAAATTTTCTAAGAAATCTTTAGGTGAGAAATTTTTTAAAATTTGTTCCAAATTGTGGAAGAATTTAAATGAGATTTCAATAAAAAAAATTGTCATATTATTTTCTTTCCTAAAACCAAAAAAAGAAAATATTTCTAAATTGATCCAAATTGTGGAAAATTTAGAAATAAATTTTTTTTTTCTAAATAGGCCCAAATGGTGGAGAATTTAGAAATTTAAAACGAGAAAATATTTTTAATTTGACCCAAATGATGGAATAATTAGATATATTTTCAATAAAAATTATAACAAAAATAATAACTAAACATTTTTTCGACAATGGAGCCTTTTCAAGAAATCAAATGGGATCCTTGAATATTCTTGAGGTGAGAAAATATTTTTAAGAATTCTACTAGATTGACGAAAAATCTTAAGAATTATTTCTAATATTTTAACATTAATTTTCAAAACTATTAGAACCAAAACCTTCAAAAAAATTTAAAATAATATGGTACCATCCTTTGGATGGACGTGTGGGGGTGCTATAACCTTCCCCATATGTAACTAAACTTTCGAACCCTGTTTTGGTTAGTAGACCTGAATCTATTCTTTTAGGGACCTTTAGTCAAGATTAAGAGTTCTTTAAGAGGATACATTCCTTAAGTGGTCAATCACACCTAATAAAAAAAGATTGGTGGCAACTCCATTTGTTAAGTCTAGTTATAGATTTATGGATTTATATGTTATGACAATTTGGTGACTCCACTGGGAATGGTAGAGAGTTAAGCCATAATTTTTGAATTTATCCTATCCTTTAGTCTAATGGTTTTAAATTGTAATGATATGTGTTATCTATTTACTAATGTTTTTATCTTTTTGTTTTTAATTTTTAGGGTATGAAATTTATAAGTTCCTTCACACACACCACCACCTGCATTTGCATTACATGAGCTATATACTTGGGCTTTGTCCCTCTTAGGAGAGAGTAAAGTACTTACACTCTTGTGAGATGATAATCTCTATAATGGCTAGCAAAATACTCTCACTCAAATTGAATATTTTTCGTTGGTAGTCTGTGATGGGTAAGGATTGGAATGCCTTATTAGTCTATGATGGATAATGATGTAAGAAACAATTTGAGAACTATTAGTGGTCAATATCGCCTAACCTTGCATATAATCAACACTTAAGAGGCCAGCCCTGAAATAGAGCCTTTCCTACCCAGTGATAGATGTAACCCAAAGTTAGGACGTAAGAAAGAATGGTTTGTGTCTAACCATTTTGTTTATCTAACTTTATGCATTTGCATTATCATGTCATGCATCATTTTTATTGTCATATGTAACATCATGCATCTACATCAATTTCATATTGCATTTCATCCATGAAAATGTACATTTTATTCATACATCAACATATCATGCATAAAGCATAACATTTTTTATCATAATTATGGTATTCAAGGTTCAAGGATAGCTCTACCAAGCAAGAACCCAACTCACCAATACAATACAAAGGCTCAAGCCTGACAAATGGAACAAGAAAATTCCAACCATCTCGAAAAGATAGAGAAAGCCCAAGAGAAGTTTAAAGGGGAATTGAATAGGATCCTAAAAGCTTTGAATAAGTTAAACAAAGGAAAGAATGTCAAAAAAAAAATACTAGCCAACAAGACCATCCATTACAAGAGATGACTGACCTTATATATCCTTATAGTTTTGGGCCACAGCAAGCCCAATTCACTCCAGATCCACCACCACAGTAGTTCACATACCCTTAAGGTACACATACCCTGGAATGCCATTAGCTTCAAATCCACCACAGTATCAAAGTTATGTAAATCCTATCTTTATCACGAAGATAGTAGAACTGATACCAGTTTCTAATTTGGATGATCCAAAAGAAAGAAAAAAAAAAGCTAAAGCCAATGGAGAATGAGACTTTAGAAGCTTCAAAAGCTAAACAAAAGATAAACTTATTAAAGGAAAGGTTACGAGCCGTAGAGGGCATCAGTTTTTATGGTTTAGTGGATGCTTCTAGACTCTGTTTAGTTTGCTATAATATATAGATCCTAGGATCTATCACTAGACATTAACTTGAAGGAGTCGCCACCAATCTTTTTTATCCAGGTGCGATTGGCCACCTAAGGAATCTATCCTTTTAAGGAACACCTAAGCCTAAGAGTCCCTAAAAAAATAGGTTCAGGTCTACTAACAGAACAGGATTCGAGAGTACAATTACGTGTGAGAAAGGTTATAGACAACACCCATCAAAAGATGGTACTAGCTTAATTTTGTGTTATCCAATAAGCTTTAAAATTTTACCAAGTAATTAATTATTAGAAACTATTCTCAATTGACTCTAATACTTTTAGCAAAAAATTGAGAAAATTCTCTTACCTTAAGAGTATGCAAGGAAACTACTATTTTACTTGCAAAGGCTCCATCGTTAGATTATTTAACATTAAAA